AAATCGGTTGGCGACCAAATTCGTAGGGGTCAGAACGGATTAACCGTATTTACATTGAACCTTACGGGAAAATTTGATTTGGGTCGCGGAACGAATTAAGTTCATGACCTGAGGTACCACTGTACATGCTTTTTGTTAAACAGATGCTCGTCAGTTACAGTATCTTTCTTATTCATTCTTGGGTCTCCTAACAGCCCAGTCACGTTTTTTGTACTCTCATTTTGTTTCCATCCATCCATCTATCCATGTCCCCCTCAGAATAATCCCCCCGTCACATCCATTTAGAATGTTGCACAATTTCTTGCAAACTCATCCCTGATTCTTTCTTTTGTTATTATAAATCAGTGGAGCATAACATGTCTATCATACCTGTGAATTCCTGATTTCACAGACACCCACAATAATCTAAATGGCATCAGTTCCTTCTTCTGGACGTACATTTTAGCCATTGTGTTCATAATTAAACCTACACTTTCATATAGCTGCATGTAGGCAGCAACCCCAGTCCACAAGATCAGGCCACCTTCATTCACATCTATTATATCCTTCCCATTTCTCTTGGTTTCAGACACAAAGCATATCAATTTTTCTTTCTTTCATTTCATACACTTTTTACCATTTACTTCTCTTACATTTCAAATTGTAATCTTCTATGTGCCATTGACCATATATCCCAAGTAAATTCTGTCTGACCAGTCTGGGTGGGCTGTTATACTCCACTTAGAGGCTCAGTGGATTGGAATGGTCTAAAAATCTTATAAATTAGAAAATAAAAATAGTGATTACTACATGGATTCATAGGTATTGACCTCTGCCAATCAGTCAAGGCATTCAGTAGGATACTTTTTAGTAGGATAGAGAGGTTACTAGCCTCAATTGCATCTGTGCCACCCATAGTATTACCTGCTAACTGAAAAGAAAGTTTGGGAATAGTTTAATCAGTATACCACAAGTGCAGCCAAAGCCCATTTTTACCTCAGATATGCTCATGTTCTTCTAAGCAAGCGAGGCTCTCTGCTCTAGAAACGATCTTGCAAGCCAGCATACGTGCAGGGTGTATGCAGTGTATTGACATTCTCTTGTTTATCAGCAGGTCCCACTGAGTTTTAATCTGTTCCCCAAACCTGTAACTTGCTTGGGGTTGCTTTCCAAGTTACAAGGGGCAAACCTGATTTGAATGGGTTGCTTAGAATTTCTTTGGAGATTTCTACATCATCATCATGTAACAACTATACCCATAGAGTAGGACAACTAGAGCCTTCAGGATCAGCTCTGCTCCCTGAATACCAGCAATTGCTTTTTTAGTTATTAAACCAGATACAAGAGAGATTTGGGAAGATATTCTGGACATGAGAAAGGAGTTGCTGATAGTCTAGGTGAAAGTTTGTAGTTTTATGGCCTGACAGTATGTGGGGAAATCCTTTCCTTGAGGCTTTTACCTAGGCAGTTCTGAAGAGGCTTTTTAATTAGCCATGATGGTTAGAAGATCCCAGTTTCATTTAGTATTGATGACTTTTGAAAGCTAATGTCTACTATCATGCATACCCCACCTGCTGAGGTAGAGGTTGGAAAAATGGTTTGGCAAGTTCCAAATATAGCTTGCAGCTGAATCAGAAGCCAAGTGTTGCAGATGGTTATGTCTGTCAAATAATAAAGCATGATTTTAAAAATACATTTCCCCAATAATAAAATATTGTTTTAAAAATACACATAATAGACCCCTTATAGGCTTTTTGCATGAAACAGAAAAAAATGCACTTATGGCTTGTGGTTTTGATGATTGAAAAAAAAAGAATAATAGAAAAAGTGAGCTTTTTTGTAATTATAGAGTAAGAGATAACTTTGTAATTTACTTATATTTGCTGCAAAGGAAATTGGAAACTTCTTTCTATTTCTTTTTATCTTTTGTTTCTGCACTTTTGTCTTTGTTCTTTTCTTCCTCCCTTTTCCTTTATTTTCTTTATTCTGTATTAGTTTGTGTTGGTTTTTATGTTGTCTAAAACTTTTAATAAAACGTGTATGTATGCATGTGTGTGTATGTGTGTGTGTGTGTGTATTTATTCATATAACAGATAAACACCAAAGTAGAAAGCTTATAAAATTGTCTCTTATTATATATAGAGAAGCACTATAGCCTCTCTGTATACAAAGGAGGAAAATGTCTCTTAATGCCTGTGGAAAAAAGAACATTCTCAAGGGCAGCAGTTCCAACTCTCTGATTCAATTTCTTATCCCTTAGTTCCCTGTCTCATTTCTGACAACCAAACATGGAAGAATTGGCCAATGGAGTAAGCGGTTATTTTGAAGAACTGGGATGTTGCTATTTTTCTTTTTCCTTTTTAAGAATTCTTGGTGTCTCATTTTGATCTTCTCTGCAGACTCCAGTCCTGCTCACCCCAAGTTCCTTGCCACCCACCATCCATTTCTGGAGTACCCTGAGCCCCATTGCACCACGCAGCCCAGCGAAGCTTTCCTTCCAGGTATGATTTGAAATCTAAGGTCATCGGTGGGATAGAAAGTATGTCTGTGAGGGGAAGGTGAAACTTGAGGCTGGGATCTCTAATAGTGGATGGATCTGAAGTTATAATTCATTGAGGAGGTGGAAGAACAGTCACGCATGGATCATAAAAGGAACACATCAAGGTTGCGTGCATTTTGGATGTTTGCAATCCTCTTTAGCAAGTATGGAATGCAGCATCTGGTACGGATCAGGTATGAGCTTGGCTATGTTTTTGGTACAAGGCATATCTTCCCAGATACCTATACATATATAAAAATTTTACATAAGCATTTCAATAAAAGATTGAAATATTATTTCGTTATAATGATCCAGAGCTAATCTACATCAATAAGTGATTTGTTCATAAATTACTAGTAACATCAATTTTGCTGACCGATTGAGTAGTTGAGGCTGTCCATTTATCTTTCCAGTGCTGACTGAGTCTTATAGCTATAAGTAGGACATGGGGAATCCACTTTTTTTTTGTCCAGATGTCAGTTTCCATGTAGTTGGAATATAGTTCAAGAGGTTACAAACATCCTAAAGTAAAGTCAATGGATTTCTTTGTATGGTATTTTTAGTAGAGTCAAGTGTGCAGTTAATGTAACTTGAAAATCTGTTCAACAGTGGGGTTAGAGAACATTAGTTTTAGCCCCCAATAGCCCTAACTTTGTTCTGAATTAAACTTATCTAATTTAATTTAATTTAATTTAATTTAATTTAATTTAATTTAATTTAATTTATTTAGGCACCGCCCAACTACAAACAACTCTGGGCAGCAAAAAATAAAATATAATTAAACAACAACCAGCAAAAGATAAGAAAGTAGTTCAGAGAAAAACACAGGGTGGCAAATCCAGCCAACAACAAAACACACAAGGAGCTCCAGTCACCCTAACCCAAGGCCTGGGAGAACAGCCAGGTCTTCATGGCAGCTGCTTTTTTGCTTTAAGAATGGGTTTTGTTGGAAATCCATTGTTTGTGGTATGTATGTGTGGAGATTTGGAATAAGGAAGGGAGAAGATGAAGTATTATAACACCCATACTTCAAATCACGCCCTTTCAAAACTGTTTTTTTCATAGACTAAGTAGTTATTAGGCAGATCCTAAGCTTTTCCCTCTTTCTCTCTTTTCAGTTTCCCAGTAATTCTAGCTCACAAGTTCACATCCCGTCACTCAGTGTGGATGGACTCTCCACTCCTGTAGTCCTTTCTCCTGGTCCCCAGAAGCCATAACCTTTCCGTTGCATCACCGTATTCCCTACTCCTGCCAAAGAACTGGCTTGAGTCTCTTTTCAAGCACTTGGGTCTACTTCTTCAGCTAGACAGCTGTGTGTCCCTTCGTTAACTGGAAGAACCCTTTGATGATCAAGCAGCGTCAGCTTGAAGAATGAAAATGGCATAGCAAGCAGATTCATCCACTAGTCTCTGATCTGCCAGAAGTTTCCTTTGAAACCAAATGACGTTTTGCTGATATCAAGCACTTGATGTGTTGCACTTGCTTCCTGTTGAAAAATTTCAAGCAGCCCTCAGATACGTCTGTGAGGGCAATAAGAATATAAGCTTTATTTGGTCTCCTCTCCAAGAGGCTGCCCGTATTTGACACTGTTGTGGCAATATGGCTTTCCTTTTCTGTCTCCTGTAGTCAGTCTTTTAATACAGTTTAGCTGAGGGTCCAAGGTCAAGAAGGCTGCCAATCTTCTACCTTGCAAGATAAATCCAGTATCTCATTCCATCCCTATTTTTTTTTTTTCTGGCTTAGTTTTAGCTTGGTTATTATTAGAGAAGTAGATCCTGCCAGCCATGTTCATTTTGGGAGTATACAAAGAAACCAGTGTCAGCCATATTTGTTTTGGCTATGTATGGACAATAGGTTGATATGTAAGCCATCTTTGTTTGGAAGGATAGATAGAATAAGGAATTTTGGTCAGCTTTGGTTTTGGATGGGTAGGTGTGAGAGTGCCATAGCTACTCACATCGGTTGCAGGTGAACAAAGAAGAGAAGAAGTACTGTTGATCATGTTTCTTCCGAGTATTTCATAAAGAGGGTATATTGATACATGGTCATTACTATATTTGATTTGGCTTCATAGAAAAAAATAATGGGATGTGTTTGCTGTGCAACATAGTAGGAGCACTTTGTCAGTCATACTCAGTTTGCCAGCTAAAGCAGCAGCATCAGTTGTGTTTAGTTTGGATAAACTCTGTTGATTGTGATTGTTTTGGTTCACTGAAGTAGGAATGTTTCTGGTATTTCTTTGGGAGAAAAATGCTCCATCTGACACCAAGACTACAGCTGGGGAGGTTTTGATCATTTTTTTCCCCCATTGGTCAAAAGTGACCAGTTCGTCAACTTGGAGACCAGAGAATGATGTCTGCTTACTGATTTCAAGATCTTTCTCTTGTTGCAGAATGGTTTCCTTAATTTATTTCCTGACGATCAAAGGTCATGACAGAAATGGCCAAAGGGGAAGTCTTAACCCTCTCTATTTTTGACAGTTTTTAATGGTTTCATTTCTGTCATCATTGGAGAAATGTCAGGCATCAGCTATTGTGTGGAAAATGTTATTTACTGATTGATCCTGATCTCACATACCTCTTCAGTTTTCTTCCAACTCTTGAGTCATCCTGGAAACAGCAGTGACAAATCCACCATCTTATAATCTCTTCAGTTCCTGCAGCCAAAAAAGCTTCTTTATGGAAACAGTGGAAATGGCATCTTTCTATAGTTATACATTTTATTTCAGATGCATCATAAAGAGACTCTGCAAAGGGCTGTGTCTCTTTGTCAGATGGGTTTATTAGAACTCATATACTCAGATGACAAGAATTTCATCACTTTATTGTGGTTTTTTGGAGGTTATCCATACGTATTTGTTAATGCCACAAAAGATATGCTATTTCAGAAGTATCAGCCAATTCTTAATCAGAATTCCTGGCACCTTCTATTTTTTCACAGAGTATCTATATCTATATCTATATATCACAATTTTATCTATTGTCAAGAGAGTTGTATTAAGAGAAAAGTAGATGGTTCAGATCTATATTTATCTTTTTGTCTGTCCATTTTGATAACTATTTTTTAAACCACAGGGTGGGGGTGAGAGAACATTCTTTTAAAGTGAGTTTGGAAAGGGAAGCATTTGGCTTTCTAATTGCTTGTATGTACCTATGTACAGATTTTGAAGTGGAAAGATTAGTTAAGGGCATAATGTGGAGAGGTGTGGTTTTCAAATTAGAAGAGTTTGTAATGGAACGTCAATAATGGTGAACCAGGTTCTCTATAGGAGCAGTTTCCAACTGTGATGGTGGAAGATCACGAGATTTAGTCCAACCTATCTGGAGGCCACGAGGTCTGAAGCCTTTTCCAGGGTGTATTTGGAGCAACCATGTGGCCCAATAGGCCACCTCTTGCCTTGTTCTGAAGGTGTTCCCTAGAATGTGCCTTGGAATCTTTCCAGGACATACTAACAGCTATGGAGAAGTTCCTTAGAATATAAATACAACTGCAAAGTAGGCTCTGTAAGAGCAAACAAACACATTAATATCAGTAAGAAGGATTAAAGCAAAAATTTGATGATGAGGCCAGGCCAGACTCTGAACTTGGGTATCTGAAGATCTATCAGTGAAGAATGACTTCACTAAAATTAGTGATCACTGAGGTTTAAATTAGAATGTCAGAAAATATGTGGGTTAAAACCTCATATATGCATCAGTCAAGATGAAAATGGGCAGCAAGGCAAGGGACCCAGTTAAAAAAGCTAGAGGAATGTGCCTGAGGAACCCAAGATCTTTCCCAACTCACAGGCTTACCTCCTCACAATTTGTACTGTACTCCCAAGTGATTTTCTATGTACTAACAGGAGTCTCATGGAGTATGTAAACCTCTAATTAAATTACCTGGGGAATTGACTGCAGGGAGATAAGCTATGAGCAGGATTTCACCATCCACGTGCCAATGTGCTTTTAACTCACTCCCTGCTCCCACTTTTCTATGTGATTGGTATAGATGTGAGTTTAAAAGATATGTTATATTTATGCCCATAGGGCCCTGTTGAATTAGGCTCCATTCCTTGACATATTTTGTAGTGATGGAATAGAATCTGCTTTCATAGGAAATTAAGCAAGACCACATGGATTTATTTTGGCAAGAAAGAGATGAAACTGGGTAGGAGATTCAAGATTTGACCAATAATATTGTAGATAGCAGATTTGGGAGGGCTTTAAAAGCAAATGTTTATAGCCAGAAAGATATGGTTTATTTTTAATCATCCTGTTGTGTAGCATTAATAATGATGATGATGATGATTATATTTTTGTTGCACTTCCATATTGCCTCCTCCTGGGAGGAATCTAAGTGCTTTACAAGGGGTGGTTTACAGATTTATTTAATAAATTAGGCACTTTGTGTAATCAGCAATCTGCAAAACAATCAGGTACAATTCATGAGTGTTACTATTCAAATCATGTGTAAATCATATGTGACTTGTGTATAAAGTAAGCTGTGCTTTAGAGCAAACTGTAAGTACAGCATGCATAAGCC